TGAAGATGGATATGATGGGTTTGTCAAACGTGCGGAAAGAGAGACAAATGCATGTTTCCTCATATCAACCCATAGTTTTGCATGTACAGATTGTGTATGGTTGTGTCACTCTCGCATAACATGTTCATGTCCTGATAGATACAGCACAGGCTGCTCAGATTCGAGCTCGACTGGAGCGTGAGCACCAGGAGGCAGTTGATCATCAGAATTTCTCAGAATGCTGCAGTAAGCCCGTGCCCCAAACCGCCCAAGCCAAGTGTCTTAGGACTAGAATTGCTAGAACTGATTGTCAAATGGCGTCATTTGGGTTTCGCCTACTTGATTCAAAAATCACCAGTAGCTCCATGATAAATTTCCCAAGTATCAACCAGTGGAAGGTGCTGCAAAAAGGTTTGGGGCCGTGCTCTAATTGGTGAATTATCGATTGGCCGTGGCCAAGCATGGTGCGGATCTGTGCATAGTTAGTTAGCAGCAGCAGTTAGCATTAGTTACAGTAAGATGTTTTTTCCATGTTTTTTGCTTAATCACTTGGGAAGAGCACCGTCCATCCGGAGGCCAGGGATGGTGCTGCTGCCGCAGCTGACGAGTTGCGGAGGGTTTCTGTAGCCTGTGACAAAGGCCTGCTGCCAAGCCTGATGCCTCATGCCAGAAGATGCCAACATACACGATAAATCACTTTCATATATATTTTAATATATAATATATCATACATGGAAAGACATTATTATACTATATTCTATATTCTATATTATATGAGTACTGTGCATATAAGTGTATACGTTATATTAAAATATATGATGAACTACGTATACATATGTATATATATAATTTTATAATATATATATAATATATATATATAATATAATATAATATATATAATGTAATATATATAATATATAATATATATAATATATATAATATATATAATATATATAATATATATAATATATATAATATATATAATATATATAATATAATATATATATATAATATATAATATATATAATATATAATATATATAATATATAATATATATAATATATATATAATATATAATAATAAATATATAATATATAATAATATATATATATAATCTATCTATCTATATCTATATATATATATAATCTATATATATGTATACACCGTATCCAAGTAGAGCCTGGGCAAGCCGGGTGACGGAAGTTTCGAGAGAGGGAAGAACCTATAAAGACAAGGGAGAACCTATAGGAACAACGCCTGACCGCCTGGCTGGAAGGGTGTTGCCTCCGTGATCTCTTGGAAGTATTTGTCCTTGACGTTTCTTGCTCTCGACATCTTTGTCTGATGCTGCCACTGTCTCTTGATCTGATTTGCTCCTGACATTTCTGAATCTTGACAGGTTTTCCGGTTGGCTGCTGTTTGTCTGGACATTTTTTCTCCCTGACATTTCTTGATCTTGACATCCTTGCCCGATGATGCCACTTTCTCTTGATCCAGCTTGCGCTTGTCATCTTTTGGAAGTCTTTGTCCTTGACATTTCTGAATTTTCCGCGTCTTTGAATCTTGGCAATCCTTCCGGCTGCCTTCTGTTTGTCCGGGCGTCTTTTTCTCCCCGACATTTCAATATCTTGATCTCCTTTGTTTGGCACTGTCTTTTGATCTGGCTTGCGCTTGTCATCTTTGAATCTTGACAGCGTCTTTCTTGTCGACAGCTCTGAAGCCAGAGACTTGACATACTCTTGTCTCCTGACGCATCCGGTTTGCGCTTGTCATCTCTGAATCGTGACAGCCGCTCTCTTGCTGACAGCTAAGGAGCTTGGGGCCTGACACACGCTCTGCTCTCCTGACAAATCTCTTTCCCTGCTCTCTTCACTTCCCGACTCTCTTCAACTGTCTACTCTTCATCACAGCTCTACTGTCTTCACATCTCTACTGTCTCAACATCCCTACTCTCTTGACATCTCTACTGTCTTGACATCTCTACTCTCTTCTTCACATCTTTTCCTCCACATCTCTACCCTCTAGCCGTCTCTACATTCTTCAACTCTCTATCGTCCGTGTAACGGGTTTCAGACACCTTATGGTTGATTAATCATCGTGTGTGTGTGTGTGTGTTCCAAGTACTACTTCATACTACAAAGCTTGCGCAAAGTGCTCCCAAGTACTACTTCGTTCTAACGCAAACATTTCTTTTGCAGCTTATAGTTCTGGCTTTCTTACCATCTACCTCCGTCTGCAAAATGCAGCTGCCATGATCTACCTATCTGTTTTGTTGAGTTATCCATCTTTTAATTACTTATCCACTGATCTTGTCGTCAGTGCAAACTTATAAGCAAAGTGAAGGTCGATGTCGCCAAGTGCCACGCCTGCCACGCAGAATGCACGTTGATGTTGCCAAGTGCCACGCCTGCCACCGCAAAGCGCAAACAGCCGTGGCGACCAAAGGACCCAAGCGCGCCACCAGAGCCAGCCCAGTGCCATAAGTGCCACGCGTGCCGCGCAAAGTGCAGGTCGATGTTGCCAAGTGCCACGCCTGCCACCGCAAAGCGCAAACAGCCGCGGCGACCAAAGGACCCAAGCGCGCCACCAGAGCCAGCCCAGTGCCATAAGTGCCACGCGGGCCACGCAAAGTGAAGGTCGATGTCGCCAAGTGCCACACTGTGAGCAAGTTGTGTGTGAGTAAGTTGTGTGCGAGCAAGTTGTGTGTGAGTAAGTTGCGTGTGGGCAAGTTGTGTGTGAACAAATTGTGTGTGTTAACAAGTTGTGCGTGAGGAAGTTGTGTGTGAACAAATTGTGTGTGTGAAACGCCTGTATAGACGTAAAACTTCCATGGCGTTGCTGAATCTGGTATTTTGGTATTTATTTCAGCTTTCAAACAAGCAGGGGGATCAGGCTTCCAGTGACTGACCTGATCCAACGAAGCTGGGTCACTGGAAGGGAAGTGGTTTGAGAACGCTCAGCCACGTACCTGCTTCATGTTGAATTTTCGTTTGGCAAGGGGCTAAGCCGAGAACCCCTACATGGACGTATTTATTTTGATTGTTCCATCGTCATGGCAAAGGACTAAGCCGAGAACCCTGAGACAACGATTTTCCTGGTCATTGAGCGTGTCGAGTTCTGTTCTTGTATGGTTACCGCAATCTGATCTTATCATGAATTACATTACGTGGCACTATTCATTTGATTGAGATTTTTATCGTGATCCTCAATTTCGACTTTTGGGGTCTACTTGAATGTGTTTCTGGTCGTGATTGTCTTTATCGGGGTACCTTCCTATTATTCGAATACCACTTCTTAGGTTACTGTTTCCAATGTAATTGCACGTGAGGGGATTCAGTTCCTAACGGATCACTTAAATGATCCATTCTTGTCTAGCGTGATATCCATGGTGACTCCGACATGGTGCCATGGAGCCAATTGAGGCAACCCTTCTTAGGGTGATTGAGGACAGACTTGACTTCCGAATTCACACATTTTAACCTGGAAATTCGTTTACGTAAAGCGAAACAGTCGGCCTTTTCGTTTATCAGTCTTTTTGCGATGTCCCGCTGATCCTGTCGTCCCTTGAGAACCTTTTGAACCTGCACTTCTACTCGGCTGAGGCTGCTCCGAATTATCATTATCAGAAACGTTCTTTTTTTTTACTGTTGCCCAAGCCACTGATGCAACATGCAACATGACACATGAGCCAGGTAGGTACATGCCTTTCAGGTGTGGTATTTCTTCCTCTTGATGGTTCGTTGGTGAGGTAACGCATTTTGTGCATCTAATTCGCCTGAATTTGAGGAGGTGTTTATGCCCATGCGGCTTCACTTGACCACGTTCCCGGCTGGGAGGAACGCACGATTATTTAGGAAAGAACTGAATCCGCTCGATTTGTTGATATTCCTATCAATTCGATCTGACCGCTGTGCTTCCTTGGCAGAGCTTTATTCCAGCATGGCCTACACCACCACATGCGAGCCCTACGGCACCTTCACCTACAGCACCACCTACTTGGACGACATCACATGTGGTACCAACTGCACACACATGTGGTACCAACTTCCACGTCGAGCACCTCCCCCAGCAGTACTAGCACATCCTCCAGCAGCACAAGCACCTCCAGCACTTCAACGTCGAGCACAAGTACTTCAAGCACTTCAACCAGCAGTCCCAGCACATCCTCCAGTAGTACAAGCACCTCCAGCACTTCCACCTCCAGCACTTCAACATCAAGTACAAGCGCGTCAAGCACAAGTACACCAACACTACCAGCAGATCCTACAGTAGCACAAGCTTTTCCAGCACTTCCAGCACTTCCACGTCCAGCGCATGCACATCGAGCACAAGTACATCAAGCACAAATACTTCAACCACCTCAACCAGCCGTACCAGCACAAGCCGTACCAGCACATCCCTAACACGAGCACCTCCAGCACTTCCAGGTCCAGAACTTCAACATCAAGTACGAGTACATCAAGCACAAGTACTTCCAGCACCTCCACATCAAGCACCTCAACCAGCAGTACCAGCACGTCCTCCAGCAGTACAAACACGTCCGGCACTTCAACGTCGTGCGCAAGTACTTCCAGCTCCTCCACATCAAGCACCTCAACCAGCAGTACCAACACATCCTCCCGCAGTACCAGCACCTCCAGCACTTCCACGTCCAGCACTTCAACGTCGAGCACAAGTACAGCAAGCACAAGTACTTCCAGCTCCTCCACATCAAGCACCAGTCCCAGCAGATCCTCCAGCAGCACAAGCACCTCCAGCACTTCCACGTCCAGCACTTCAATGTCGAGCACAAGTACAGCGAGCGCAAGTATTTCAAGCGCTTCCACGTCCAGCACCTCAACCAGCAGTACCAGCAAATCCTCCGCAGTATAAGCACCTCCAGCTTTTCCACTTCAAGTACTTCAACGTCAAGCCCAAGCACATCAAGCACAAAGTGCATCAAGCACTTTCACCAGCAGTACCGGCACATCCTCCAGCAGCACAAACACCTCAAGCACTCCCAGTCCAAGCACCTCCACATTCCACATGCAGCACTTCTATATCCAGCACTTCAACGTCCAGCACGCCAACAAGCAGCACAAGTGCTTCCAGCACCTCAAGCAGCAGTTGTCCAGCACTTCAACATCAAGTACGAGTACATCAAGCACAAGTACTTGTAGCTCCTCCACATCAAGCACGTCAACCAGCAGTACCAGCACATCCTTCAGTGGTACAAGCACCTCCTGCACTTCCACGTCCAGCACTTCAACGTCGAGCACAAGTACAGCAAGCACAAGTATTTCAAGCGCTTCCACGTCCAGCACTTCAACCAGCAGTACCAGCACATCCTCCGGCAGCACAAACACCTGGAGCACTTCTGGTCCAAGCACCTCCACAAGCAGCACTTCTACATTCAGCACTTCAACGTCCAGCACCTCAACCAGCAGCACAAGCACTTCCAGCACCTGCACTTCCAGCACCTCAGCAGGCAGTTGGAGCACAAGCACTACCAGCACCACTGTAACCACCACTAGCACAACTTCAACGTCTACCTCAAGCACATAACAAGTTTTACCAGCAGGAGTACCTCCAGCTCATCCACCTCAAGCACTTCCAGGTCCAGTTCAAGCACTTCTGAGGCCGCCTCATAGATTCCTTTTCTGAGATGGCATCCGGCTAAGCCAAGAACCGGCAAGACGTTTATTTGCATCACCATGACCTCTATATACGAGCACATCCGGCACTTCCAAGTCCGTCAAGCACATATACATAGGGCACAAAAACTTCAAGCACCTCAACCAGCCGTCCCAGCACATCCTCCAGTAGCACAAGCACCTCCAGCACTTTCACGTCCAGCACTTCAACTTCAAGCACAGGTACGTCAAGCACAAGTACTTCACCTCAACCAGCCGTACCGGCACATTCCTAACACAAGCACCTCCAGCACTTCCATGTCCAGCACTTCAACATCAAGTATGAGTACACCAAGCACAAGTACTTCCAGCACCTCCACATCCAGCACCTCAACCAGCAGTACCAGCACGTTCTCCAGCAGCACAAACACATCCGGCAATTCAACGTCGAGCGCAAGTACTTCCAGCTTCTCCACATCAAGCACCTCAACCAGCAGTACCAACACATCCTCCCGAAGTACCAGCACCTCCGACACTTCCACGTCCAGCACTTCAACGTCGAGCACAAGTACAGCAAGCACAAGTACTTCAAGCACTTCCACGTCCAGCACTTTAACCAGCAGTACCAGCACATCCTCCGCAGTATAAGCGCCTCCAGCTTTTCCACATCAAGTACTTCAACGTCAAGCCCAAGCACATCAAACACAAAGTGCATCAAGCACTTCCACCAGCAGTACCGGCACATCCTCCAGCAGCACAAACACCTCAAGCACTCCCAGTCCAAGCACCTCCACATGCAGCACTTCTATATCCAGCACTTCAACGTCCAGCACGCCAACAAGCAGCACAAGCGCTTCCAGCACCTCAAGCAGCAGTTGTCCAGCACTTCAACACCAAGTACAAGCGCAAGTACTTCCAGTACCTCCACATCAAGCACCTCAACCAGCAGTACCAGCACGTTCTCCAGCAGTACAAGCACGTCCGGCACTTCAACGTCGAGCACAAGTACTTCCAGCTCCTCCACATCAAGCACCTCAACCCGCAGTACCAACACATGCTCCCGCAGTACCAGCACCTCCAGCACTTCCACGTCCAGCACTTCAACGTCGAGCACAAGTACAGCAAGCACAAGTACTTCCAGCTCCTCCACATCAAGCACCTCAGCCGGCAGTCCCAGCAGATCCTCCAGCAGCACAAGCACCTCCAGCACTTCCACGTCCAGCACTTCAATGTCGAGCACAAGTACAGCGAGCGCAAGTATTTCAAGCGCTTCCACGTCCAGCACCTCCGGCACTTTCACGTCCAGCACTCCAACTTCAAGCACAAGCACGTCAAGCACAAGTACGTCTCGCTCCTCAACATCAAGCGCCTCAACCAGCAGTACCAGCACATCCTTCAGTAGCACAAGCACCTCCAGCACTTTCACGTCCAGCACTTCAACGTCGAGCACAAGTACAGCAAGCACAAGTACTTCAAGCACTTCCACGTCCAGCACCTCAACCAGCAGTACCAGCACATCCTCCAGCAGTATAAGCACCTCCAGCTTTTCCACTTCAAGTACTTCAACGTCAAGCACAAGCATATCTAACACAAGTACATCAAGGACTTCAACCAGAAGTGTCAGCACATCCTCCAGCGGCACAAACACTTCAAGCAATATTTTTACCTTCTCACTTGTCACCGGTGACCATGCTTTTTCCCTCCGTGCCGCTGATTATTGGAGAGCCTACTTCCGCATCCCAATCCAGAATGGCAACAACACGTACTACGCCTTCAACATCAATCAGCCCCAGCCCACAACTACTTCTCAGCCACCTACGATCCCGGTACAACTTCGAGCCTGCCCTTGCACCTACGGCCTCATCATCGACAATTACAGGTGGCCTTCCTAGTGATCAATTGCAGTCACTGGCCCAGGGACTTCACGCACTGGCCTCATCGAGCCCTTCTGACACATCTGAGACGACACCACCGGCCTGGACGGCCCTCGGCTGTTGAGCTGTTCTTCGGACAAACACGACCCTGCTGCGGCAGGGGGTGTGTGTGAAACGATTGTATAGACGTAAAACTTCCATGGCGTTGCTGAATCTGGTATTTTGGTATTTATTTCAGCTTTCAAACAAGCAGGGGGATCAGGCTTCCAGTGACTGACCTGATCCAACGAAGCTGGGTCACTGGAAGGGAAGTGGTTTGAGGACGCTCAGCCACGTACCTGCTTCATGTTGAATTTTCGTTTGGCAAGGGGCTAAGCCGAGAACCCCTACATGGACGTATTTATTTTGATTGTTCCATCGTCATGGCAAAGGACTAAGCCGAGAACCCTGAGACAACGATTTTCCTGGTCATTGAGCGTGTCGAGTTCTGTTCTTGTATGGTTACCGCAATCTGATCTTATCATGAATTACATTACGTGGCCGTGGCACTATTTATTTGATTGAGATTTCGATCGTGATCCTCAATTTCGACTTTTGGGGTCTACTTGAATGTGTTTCTGGTCGTGATTGTCTTTATCGGGGTACCTTCCTATTATTCGAATACCACTTCTTAGGTTACTGTTTCCAATCTAATTGCACGTGAGGGGATTCAGTTCCTAACGGATCACTTAAATGATCCATTCTTGTCTAGTGTGTGAGAGCAAGTTGTGCGTGGACAAGGTGCGTGTGTGTGTGTGCGTGTGTGTGTGAGCAAGTTGTGTGTGCGTGTGTGAGTAAGTTGTGTGTGAGCAAGTTGTCTGTGAACAAGTTGTGTGTGAGCAAGTTGTGCGTGGACAAGTTGTGTGTGAGCAAGTTGTGTGTGAGCAAGTTGTGTGTGAACAAACTGTGTGTGAGTAAGTTGTGTGTGTGTGTGTAAGGTGTGAGCAAACTGTGTGTGAGCAAGCTGTGTGCGAACAAGTTGTGTGTGAGGAGGCGGGCGGCGGGCAGCAGGAGGAGGAGGAGGAGCAGACGGCGGCAGGCGGGAGCGCACAACCAAAAACAAGAACCCCACACAAAGATGTGGGGAAAAATCAAATACCCTCATCACACCACGACGAACCATTGCGTGAACTGGTCGCCTATGTGCCGCAAATCCTGACTGCTCTCCTGCAGTCATTGTTTGAGTCAGAACAACATGTCAGCATCCTCACCCAGATTGCAATCAGCAATCCATGTGTTTGATCATGTTTGATCACTGTTCGCCATCAGAGACTGAAATTGAGCTTAGTTGAACCAGCGAGACTACACACACATATATATATAATTTTACATAATAATGTCGCATGATTATAAAATACTAAAAACACATATTTGCAGAAACATCAGGAACTCAGCTGAACCTGCAGTCATGGCCCGCCGCTCCGCACGAAGATTGTCCCTGGCAGTAGTATGTTGCTCTGCAATTTGGTCGAGCACCTTCGTCGCACAACGACCCAAGGCTTTGCTGTCCAGTCTACATGTGGCTGCTGCCGGATTTGCTTCGCCTATGGTGGATGTGGCAAGAGCAAATGCTGAGAGTTTCTCTTTCCTTGGAAAAAATTCAGCCGAACTCTTTCCTGTGTCCAACGTCAGTCTGCTGACATGGGGTCTACTGATTTTTCTGCCCAGTTGGGAATATCTGAAGCCGGCCGCCTTGGTGGCCCCGGTGGTGAATGCGGTGCTTTATGTGGCGACCATCAGTTTTCTCTTGACACATCCAGATCCAGCAGTCTTGTCAGCAGATCTTCTAAGCCTGGATGGAGTTGTAACTGCTTTCCGGAATCCGGATGGAGTCCTGGCAGGGTGGCTTCACTACTGTGTGTTTGATCCCTTGGTTGGCTTGGGAGAGGTGCTTGACAGCCAGCAGAACAAGCTGCCACACTTCCTGGTTGTGTATCTTGAACGGTAAAAAAAAGTTTTTGTTGGGTGTCAAGAAGGCCAGAGGCCAGATGTGGGTCATTCGGTGATTGATGTTGCATTTGATCTTGACATGTCCACTTCCACCGGCAAGAAAAGATTTTTTAGAACAGCATGTGAATATTTCGCAGGATATCCACATTGCGCTGCTACCTGATGTTGTTTGTGCCAAGGCCCTGCTTGATCTTGACCTTGCTCTTTGGACCCATTGGTTTCCTTTCGTATTTGGCAGTCAGAACCGTTTGCCTTGCAAGCAGACCAGCCTGAGGCAGCATGATCAGCACGAGGTGAATTGATATCATGTCAGAAAATGAGTGAAGCTGTGGGGACAAGCTGTTCAGCTTTGAGTCAGGGGCATAAAGCGGACATAGATGTGGCTTTCCGATACGCCAACTGCAAAGTTAAACAGTTAAACTTTGTCCATTGCATGCCCGACAGCAGAGAAAGTTGAAGTGCATATATACATGCCACAGCAAAAAGATAGTCAGCCGCGCTCTTGCATTTCATACTGATCCTTTCCAGTCCATTCCAGTCCAACCTGATCTGATTTCGATCTGTGTTGAGAATTAGCACGATGCAAGGCAGCAGTCCTGTGGCCATGCAAATGATCCACAGGAGAAATGTCAAGATCTTCAAAGAAATTCGATCAAATTCGAGTAAGCTGGCAAAGTCAATCAGTCTCAATCAGTCTTCTCGGGCACATGGCAACACCTTGTCGATGTTGAGGCCGCCTTGAGCACGAGAAGCTCTTGACGGAGGAACAGCGTGTCACGGACAATGCCGCCAAGGTGCTGCGCAGATGTTGATGAACATGCAATAAAAAGGGAATCCTCATACCCACCACATGTATATAATCAGTTAAAAGATGTTAGATATCATTTTTTCATGAAATACAATAAACACTAAAACATACATATATGCATGCATACATACACATACATACACATACACATACATACACATACACATACATACACATACATACACATACATACACATTCATACACATACATACACATACATACACACACATACAGCACATACATACACATACATACACATACATACACATACATACACATACATACACATACATACATACATACAGGCATAAAGACATACAGGCATACAGACATACAGACATACAGACATACATACATACATACCAACCATACCAACCATACCATACCAACCATACCAACCATACGATACCATACCATACCAACCATACCAACCATACCAACCATACCAACCATACCAACCATACCTACATACATACATACATACATACTCATACACATACACATACACATACTTATACACATACATATACACATACACATACACATACACATACATACATACATACATACATACATGCATGCATACACACATACATACATACATGCACATACATACATGCACATACATACATGCACATACATACATACATACATACATACATACATACCAACCATACATACATACATACACACATACATACATACATACATACATACATACATGCACGCATGCATGCATGCATACATACACACATACATACACACACACATACACACATACATACACACATATACACATACATGCATACATGCATACATGCATACATGCATACGTGCATGCATGCATACATGCATACACATACATACACATACATACATGCGTGCATACATACATACATACGTACGTACATACATACATACATATACATACACATACATACACATACATACGCATACATACACATACATACACATACATACATACATACACATACATACATACATACATACATACATGCATGCATACATACATACATACATACATACATGCACATACATACACATACACATACATGCACATACATACATGCACATACATACATGCACATACGTACATGCACATACATACATGCATACATGTATACATACATACATACATACATACAGACACTCACGCGCATACACATACACATACACATGCAGATACAGATACAGTTACAGATACAGTTACATACACATACACACACATACAGATACAGATACAGATACATACTAAATACATACATACACACAGGCATGCATACACATACATACACATACATGCGTGCATACATGCGTGCATACATGCGTGCATACATACATACATACCTACGTACATACATACATACATACACACATACATATATACATATATACATTTTAATACATACACTGCATGACATTACATTTAATTTTGATTCAAATTTACATTACATGTCGTGCATATATTTATATAGTTTATTTACATATATTCTAAACCGTATGAATAGATATTGATTATATATATATATGCATACATGCACACGTGTGTGTGTGTGTGTGTTTGTCTACAGTGTATGTACCAACGTTGTGCATCTCTTTCCACTTCATGGAATGGAGCCCACGAACAACGATCCTTGCCCAGCATAACTTGATAGAACTCGGCTCAGGCAAGCGTTCGTGTCGACAAATTAACGTCAGAGCTTGGAGCACAAGGGAACAAAAAGGCTCTGATCTCAGTTGGCGAAGACCGGGCCGTCGGTGAGATCGAAGTGTGGCAGCAACCACGGATGACTTTGCGCTTTTAGCTGTTTGACTTGACGGCAAGTTACGGGGATTGTTTCAAGTGGTTTCCAGCAAACCACACCTAGCCTTGGAGCCTGTCATGAATGGTCTGGAAGCAAGACACTGCATCGAAGAACATCGGTGTTTCCACATAACAGTTGGGGGGTACCCTGTGGCTACGTTCTACAGTTCTATATGCCGTTCATACCCTGCTTATCACAGTGGAAGTATGTGCTCTGCAGCAATGATTCGACGCTTGTAGCAGTTGCATTGCAACCATCTCACAATGACATGTTTGAAGGTAGATGGACAGATGGACATATTTTGTTGCCAGAGGTGTAAGTTATCCCCCATGTCATCATGTGCATGTGTGAGCAATGTGATAGCTATATATATGATTATATGATATTATATGTATACAATACATATTGTTGTGGATACAAAACAATACACAGGAGCCCACTTGGGCCCAACTTGGGCGCAACTTGCGCCGAACTCGGGCCAGTTGGCTCCAACTTGGGCCCGAGCCCAACCATGGCACAACTTGGGCACGTTGGGAAGCAAGTTGGGCTTAGGATATGCAACTTGGTCCTGCGTGGGGGCATCTGGCGCCGAAGTTGGGCCCAAGACATGCCCAAATGCGGGCAACATAGCCTTGCATCAAAGCCAAAAAACGTTGGAATAGCGGTAAAAATGCAAGTTTTCAACGTGTCGCATTGAGTCGGCACAATTGGCCTGGGTTGGTTGGGCCCAGCCTGGGCCTGGGCCTGAACTTGGCCCAACTTGGCCCCAAGTTGCACTATCTTGAACCCGACCCGAGCCCAAGTTCAGATGGACCCCAAATTGAAGCCATGTGATGCACATGGGCGTCCAAGTCATGCATTGCGCAACTTGGGACCCTTTGGCGACACCAAGTTGGGCCCAACGGAGCCATAACATGGGTAACATTGCTTCGGGGGAAGCGTCACCAATATCAAATAACGTGGAAAATACCAGTGAAAACGGGCACCTTGAGGATTTTGAAATGGGCCGGCTATGCCACCATTTTGAAACCATATGGACTTCAACTTGGGCCGACCAAGTTGGGGCCAAGTTGGGCCTTGAGCATAGTGGGTCCAAGTTGGGCCGAAGTTGGGGCCTTGCTGGCCGAAGTTGACCCCAAGTGGAGCCGACGTTGCGGCGTGTCGGATCGAAATGTTCCATTTGGACGATTTGGGGCCGATCTGAAAAATGTGCAAATTACCACAGTCCCGTACACTTTTTGGCGGCCTGTCCCTGGCGAACATGCCCCCTTTGTCTGACAGATCTGTCTGTATCACTTGCTGCTAAATTGCGCTGCGGGCGGATATTTGTAAGCACGCAGTCATTCTTGGACGTCTTATTGTGATGGGTGACTTCAAGTGGTCCCAATTGTTGAGTTTGAAGTGAAACGCTAAAGGCATGAAAAGGACACATATCGGTTAAGTATGGTTAAATGCATGTCTGAACCATACAGTCTGGCTTACATCTGGAAAAAGAAACCGCACCTTTTGAAAACTTCAAACCATTGAGACATCCATTCAGATCTCCATGTTTGTCTCTGTGGATGGCACCATGTGGCACCTTTTCTGGCATCTCCTTGCCCAGGTGGAGGTAGATGCAAAATTGCAAGGTTTGGCAGCAGCGCCAGCTGAGGTGCCGGGGGTGGGCTGGGGTCGACTGTCTTGAGGTGAGGTGTCAAGCCATTGGACCACGCAAGAAGACCACTAAAAGGACCGCTAAGAATCACTAGGAACATTTGCTGTAGATCACGGAAAAAAGATGAAAACAAATCCAAAACGGATGAAAAAGGATGAAAAAGGATGAAAAAACAAAGGACATTGCCAGTAGAAGGGGCTAGGTGAATAGGCCGAAGCTGTCCCAGTCGAGGTTGAGCAATGCAAAGGGTTTTCCAAAGCCCAACTGGCCGGGACACCTGACCCGTTTTAGGCCGAGAAGTCCCTGAGTTTGTACTTCTAGAATTTGAAAGGAACGGGTATGGTACAGATATTATTGAAACATATGTGGACACAGTGATACACGGAATTTTGAATGATTTTTTTGGGGATATTCTGTTCATTTCTTTACGCTGCCCAAAGAAAGCGTACGACGTGGAAGAAGGGCCCCAAAGATGGATTTTGGCATAGTTTGAACATGTTTTGATTCCATGTTACAAGGATGTACTTGGAGAATCTTGGAGTTTCTCGAGTTTCTGTGCATTTGAAAACACGCCTGCCGTTATGATGTTTGTTGGACGGCGACCTGCAACTCCGCTGCCAGTGCTCTCAAGCATTCAAGACCAGAAATCTTCCAAGATACTGCTGGGATTGTTTCCTTCACACCATAAGAAATAAAAAAATCAAAAAAACATGGCACCAACAGGCCAATTTGATCCAACTTGACAGTCAGATTCATCTATTGGATTGGCAACAAGTTGTGGGTTATTTTCTTTGGCGCCTTGTTCCAAGACGTTGTAAGTGAGTTTGGGCGAACGCAATGCCCTGGGTGCAAATAGAGTACAACTCGTTGCACCCCCTAAGGCTGGAACTCCTTGGGGCGGGGCCAAGGGTAAATTCCCTTCAAGTACAGCCCGTACCCTGGAGATTCTTGCAGATCCCTAGAGTCCGAGCATTGACGCGAAATGACATGAATATCAATGAATATCATATCATTGAATATCGAAAGCATCCCAAATTCAAAGGTCAATGTGTCCATCTACTGTTTTAGGTACACACTTGGGTTCCGGCAGGTTCTGGCATAAATGCTGTTTCTGCCTGCTTCTGTATGTTCCTGCAACAGCTGTTCACTTGTGGGACAACACCCCAGCAGAAAAACCTACCTAACCAATAATGATGTTTGCGTTTGGCTCATTTCACACTTGCCTACCCCGCATACAAATTCACCTACCGCGGGATTTGGGCCATGTTGAACCATGTGAATCCGTTCCCAATCAGCGCAGCACCTCAGGGTCTTTGATGACCTCACCAGTATATGCACCGGCGGCAGCTACGACAAAGCGTGTCTTTCAACGAACTCAGTGACCTGGTGCTATTCAACGCGTAACCATTTTGGACAATAATATGGTCCGAATGTTGGCTTGAATTGGAGCAATTGGAGCAAGTCTCAAGATTTGAGGGAAGATAAGGAGCTTGGACTACTGCCCCGAGTCATGTTGTTCCTGCTTGGAGATAGTCAGTTTTCTGGGACAAGTACTTCAAGTCATGAGATTTTATGAGATCATTCGGCAGTCAGTTTTTGCGCGCTTCTTATGTTTTTTTTTCCAATCATTCTTTCTTTTATCAGAGTGCTTTGGATGGTTTGACTCGACATGATTCAATACTCCAACGGCTGTTATGACAGCATGTCATACCACTGGGAAGTGCAAGACTTTAGTTCTACCCTACCACATGGAGTGATGTCAGCCTAGTGCCTAGGCAAATTAATCACAGTCGTAGGTGATTTGAAATTATACGTCAACCCGACCATTATCTCTCAAGGTCCTTCGTCCGAATCTGGGTGCCCCAGAAAGCTGTTCCCCTCACCTTTTCCACAAGGGTTTTATCACAAGACTAGCTACTACATATATCATATATATATATATATAGATAGATAACACTACTTGTAGATCTTTGAGTGGATTACTAAGCTCTCTTGTAACAGACCCGACAGATGTTCATACTTAACCGCTGTTACCTGACAGTTCCCGAACAGTTCCCCAACAATTGCAGTTAAGTAAGAACCCGACAGGCTACATCTATGGTATTCCAATCTCTTCTATGGCTAGACATTTGATGTGGGTACCATGGGGGACCAAAATTCCAATGATTCTGGCTGATTCTGGTGACGTTTTCACCGAGGCTTTGTGCTTTCTGGGCTCGGGGAAGTTGTAAACGCGGAGCTGCATGTGCTTTTGCCCACGGGGAGGTGACGGATCCGGACGGGTGCACCTCCTCCTGAACCTGAACCGTGGTGTGTCTTAAAATGGGGTACCGTGGTGTACCCCGAAATAGCTATTTTAGTATGTTTTAATGGCAAAATGATGATACACCAATGGATTTAGGGGTACCCTATTTTCAAATCCATTTAAGATTTGTGTATCAAAGATGAATACTTTTGAGAATTGGCAGTATTGGCAAGGATGACACATGATGATCAGGTGCTGCCCGTAACATTTGGGCTCATGTCCTTTTGCATTTGTAGGCCTTTAGCCATACATTGCTACGTGCTGAGACTTCGGCAAAAGGTCGCGCAGACGCCCGGCTTGGGGTGTCTTCAGTGGCACCGGAGCCTAACCATCCTGAAGACTTTGGGCATCGAGCACTTGCATCTCCGCTTTGCGCTTCTTTGGTCCTTTGCTGTGCACGGTGGACACCTACCTCGCTCCTGAGTTTGACCTCGGTGATCCTTGTGATTGAGGGGGTTTCGATTCGGGACAGGTTCCACATCCGAGGTGGCTGAGCCCTTTGGCACTTGCTCTGCATTCCTTGGTCACGCGATTCATTGGTGCTAGGCGAGGGGCTGATTGGAATCCACCGGGAATTTGATTTTTTTGGTTGTTTCACTACATCATTGTGTATCACATCATTTGGCACCTCTTTTTCTGTGTGTATCACATCGCTATTGCATTCGACATCGCGATCTCAATCCTTTTGAGGGTGCTCCATTTTCTTTTCCAGATCAATTGCATCTCCTTTTTCTTTGGTTTCACTACGTGTTTGAAGAGCCCATCATGACAGACAAGGATGAGGGCCATGGAGCTTGGAGCAAGGTCCCAATTTGGGACGGCTCTCCTCAGACATGGAGGTCATTTAGAAGAGAAATGGCCTGGTGGACATCGAGCTTGGATTTGGAAAGCACCAAGAAGTATAACTTGGCGGCGAGATGGCTGCTTCGCCAAACAGGCATGGTTCGTGCTAGAGGAGAAGAATTTCTGCCTGAGGAACTGGTGTACCAGCCTGAGATAGTGGGCAAGGATCCTGAGACTGGTGAGGATGTGATTCTTACCCCAGCTGATCCGTTGCATGGCATCAAGAAGCTGATGAAGGCGCTGGAAGAGATGAATGGCAAGACAACCCTCGATAAACGAGGGGAACTTAGAGGACAGTTCTACTTGGAGCTCAAAAGGCGGCCTGGAGAACGAATCTCTGAGTTTTGCACGAGGTTCAGAACCATGGTTGCCGACTTGAAGTCCGAGGGCGTGTCATTGCCTTCTTCAGAGCTTGGCTGGTTCCTACGTTCGAAGCTGGGACTTGACCCTTTGAGGACCCAGCTCTTGGACGCGGCTTTGGGAGGATCCGAAGACTATGAGGTCATCGAGCGCGAGATTCTCAGGTTGTTCAAGGATCTTCATAGCCAAGACCCTTTGGCGAGAAAGCAGTTTGGAGATGGCCGACCGCCATTGTTGCAGAAGTTCCTCAACCAGCAGTCCAATCCGAGCAGAGCTTCCTCCTATGCTCCCTCCATGGCGAGCACTGCACCCAGGTCTTTTAAGTCCAGTGCCTCTTCTACTTCTAGCAGATTCAGCAACCGGCGTCCTTTTCCTCCTCCTCGTCAGGCCATGGTTTCTGAGGTTGAAGATGATGTGGATGGGGATGAGGAGCATGTGGACGAGGGACAAGATCCTCAGTCGCTTGAAGAGCTGATGCAGACCGAAGCTGAGGCTCTGGCTGCTGAGTTAGATGCTGCTGCTGAAGAAGGTGTAGATGAGGTGATGTTGCAGGAGATAGAGAGCTCAGTTGAGACAGCAGCTGAAGCCCTTCTCACCATGAGGGAGGCCAAAACGCGTCTTCAAGAAGTGAAACGAGACCGTGGATACAACAAGACAGATGGGGGCGACAAGAAGGGCACCCTGGCGAAAAAGCAGTCGGGCAAACACTCATGTTTCGATTGCGGCCTCCAGGGGCACTGGGCTGGAGACCCTGAGTGTCAGAAACCTGGCCAGGGCCTAGGCCGTAAGCCATCACCAAAGAAGGTCAAGCAGGTGAAGCTGGTTGAATCGTTGAATACAGAACACGTTGCTGAGGCCGAGGCGACAATCCCGCCTGCAAATGAGGTCTTGACTGTCGCATGCACCACGAGACCTGCTATTTCTGGCTCCTTGATGCGTGCCTTGGATGATGCTGCAGTGGCCAAGGAGGTGAATGCACTGGTCTCTGCAAAGTTGGCATGTGACAAGCGATTGGTGGGCGCCCTTGACTCTGCCTGCAATCGCACTTGCACAGGACCTGAGTGGCTTAGTGGCTTTTTGGATGGCCTGAAACAAGCCCCCCAAGAAATTCAAGATTTGGTGATTTCCCGTCCTGAACGTGAAACCTTTCGTTTTGGAAACGGCGGCGCCCAAGTCAGCGTTGAAAGATGGCGGCTACCTGCAGTGGTTGGCGGGACACTCATTTGTTTTTGGACTTCTGTTGTTCCTGTACCTTCCCTGGGGTTGCTGCTTGGTCGTGACTTCTTGGAAGCAGTTGGTGCCGACATGAGTTTTTCCAGAAGAACTTTGAAGTGTGAAAGCTTGAATATGGTCCCCATAGCCCTGCGTCAACTCACCGCAGGTCTCTACCTTTTGCATCTCCTGCCATCATGCTGGCCAGGTGTGGTTTCTCAGAAGCGTTGGAAGCGTTTGGGAGTTGATGGTGTTTTGGAGTTGCAGTTGTCGGCAAGTGAGTGGCTTCGCAAGCGTTTTGGTGGTCGGACTTGCAATGCACAGACAGCGCATGACCATCTTCTTACGGAGCATAGCTTGCATGCTGGCCGATTGGTTCTGGCTCAAGCATCAATGTCGTCTGCTTCATTGAAGCCGACTTCAACATCGACAACATCCTCTTCTACCAGGTCGTGTTTGAGCACCCAAATCTCTCATGGAGATTCCGTCTCAGAACCAACCATGGCGTCGCATGGTGCTGCGCCTGCGAGAAAGAAGCATGTGGGCGGCAAAAGGCATTCTGCTTTGGCTCGTGCAAAAGCGATTCCTGCGCTTTTTGCCCTTGCATTATCCCTCAGTCACTTCGGTTCAGCAGTGGAAGGAACAGGCCAAAGACCAGGTTTTGGGTGGAATTGTCCCCAAGAGTCACTTGCAGAAAGCGGACTTGGCCAACAAGTTCACCATGGCAAACCTGGGCGAGTGCTGTCACCTTCGGAATCGTTTGGGCATTCAACTTTCCTTCATCGAGGACCCCAAGTTGGAGGGCATGCTTGCTGGCCGAGCGGTCAAGGGTTTGAGTTCAAAGCTGAGAAAACAAGCGCAGAAGGAAGCCTTGGCAGAAGCTCAACGTGCCGACGAGAAAGGAGTTCGAGAGCAAGAGGCGAGAACCCTGATAGGCCCCAAGGGCGGTGCCTTCTCTGAGAAGCGATTTGCTTCGTCTGGCAGCTCTTTTGCACGTGGAGGTCGACGAGAAGGCGACAGTTCCCCAGCTCAAGGAGAAGGTCAAACCAATGGTCGCATTGCTGAAGGAGCAGCCTGCTCCCACAGTCAAGGCCCCGCCCATGAAGGACAAGAGTCATGGTGCCCGGCCGAAAACGAATCCCAAGCATGTGAGCTCTTTGTCAATGAGTTCCAGCGATCGACCACTGACTCTTCTGGCAGAACAACAGCGCCAGTTGGGCGTGATGATGGAAGGGCTTTCTCGCGAGCTGGTGGCACTTCGTCAAGATGCAAAGAAGGGCAGCCAGACACAGGGCCAGATGGAGGTGGACCAGGATGCAGAGCTGATTCCCGAGCTCACGGAGGAGGAGATCCGAGAGCTGAACTCCGAGGCCTATGCAGAACTGTATGCAGCCCGCCTGGCGGCCCAGTACGACGAGGCGGAACTGGTGGATTTGACGGACGAACAGGTGGAGAGTGTGGTAGATCCTTAGAGGCTGATGAGTACAAGATTGTGCAGACTTTGAAGAAGAATCAAGCTCAGCTCATTGCCGAGGCTTGGAAACGTCATGAAGCTGACCGGTTGAAGGTTTCTCTTGGGCAGCAACAACTACGTGAGACCCTGGAGGTTCAGTTTGACAATGAAATGCGTGGCTTCATGACTGATGAGACCTTTTTCCAAGCCGTGTCCTTTGTTCCTGAGTCGCATGAAGCTCTTGCGAATGACCTGGTTCCAAAGAATTCCATGGTTAAACAGAATGAGGTCCCCCTTGTCTCTGAGGTGTACACCAATTCCCAAAATGTTATGAAAGAAGCTGTTCGCCGTGGGCACAAAGTTGGAACTCCCATGTCGTTGGAAACGGGGTGGGACTTTACTCGTCTTGGCCATCGTATACGTGCCAAGCAGATGATCATGGAAGAGAAGCCGTTCTGTCTTGTGCTGGCGTTTCCTTGCGGACCATTCAGTCCGCTCCAGCACTTGAATTCGGCAGGCAAGGCCACCTTGGGCGATCGTCTTGAAAAAGGTCGTCAATTGATGAAGTTTGCCTTGGAGCTGGCAGAAATTCAAGTTCGAGGCGGGCGGCATTTCATTTTGGAGAATCCTTTACCAAGTGGAGCGTGGAAGGAGCTTGACATGCAGAAATTCCTTGAAGAGCATCAGATAGACACCGCTGTTTTCGATCAATGTCGATTTGGTCTGAAGAGTTTGTCTGGCTTACCACATCGGAAAGCCACTAGGGTTGCAAGTTCAAGCCCGGCAGTCATCGAGTTGTTGGATGGGATCCGTTGCATGCGCAACCATTCTCATGACCCAGTGATTGGTGGCAGTCGGATCACTGCTCGAGCCGGCATCTACCCCTTAGCCTTGGCTAGGACTATGGTGGAAGGTGTTGAGAAGCAGTTTGATATGGACTTTGGTGGCTCTGGTGAAGTTCTGGTGGGTGAGGCGGAGGGCGATGAGGACGTCGACTTTGAAAATCATGGTGGTGCCTTTGCCATCAAGGATGACGATGACATGTCCGACGTCGATGAGCAGACTGAGGATGATGCCAAGGTCCACATTCCACAGTCCGTGAAACTGGCTGTGAAAAGGCTCCATGAGAACACCGGGCATAGAAGCAATTTGCGGTTAGCCCGAGCCCTAGCCATTGCTGGGGCACCGACAGAAGCCATCGTGGCGGCGAAGCGGCACCAATGTGCCATTTGTGCTGAGCGTGCTCCTCCAAAGGCACGTATACGTTGCCAACACCAAAAGATATGGGAGATCAAGTGCACATTGATTTGATTGAGATTGAAGACAAGAAGGAGAAGCGTTTCTATGTTGTCCATGCCACGGACTCTGCAACTCGTTTCCAAGCGGCCCAGGTCATGGAAGACAAGTCAACGAAGAGTGTGATCCACTTTTTGGCCACGAGATGGCTCCCGACTTTTGGAGCTCCTCGAGTTCTAGTCTGTGACCAAGGCCGCGAATTTGTGAGTTGGCAAATGGAAGAATGGGCTTCGTCTGTTTCAACGATGTTGCACCACATTGCAGTTCAGGCGCCGTGGCAAAATGGTTTAGCCGAGAAGTCAGGTGGAGTTCTCAAGGCTGTCTTGTCGGCAGTGATCGCATCGCAGAGTGTTGTGGGATTTCATGAAATGGAGTTAGCGCTTGGAGAAGCAGTCTATGCTTGCAATGCAGATGTTGGAGAGTCTGGAGCCTCCCCTTTTCAGGCTGCAATTGGAAGACAGCCAAGAATGATTGGAGACGTTCTTGGGGGCATCCAGAACAGACTGGCTGAGCATGGGCTTTTGACTTCCAAGCCCTCGTTAGCCAGACAGCTAGCGATGCGGGAAACCGCAAAAGTGGCGATGTGCCGCTTGCATTTCAGCCGTGGACTTCGTAAGGCTGAGTTGGCACGTTCCAGAAGTTCGACAGTGGAATCAGTCCCAACTCCTGGAACAATCTGCTACTTTTATCGACCGCTGAGATTCAACAACAAGGCCTCAGCGAGCAAGAAGCGCTTGACCCTCAAGCGATGGCATGGTCCTGCTCTTTTTGTGGCCTTGGAAGGACATGCCTCAGCATTTTTGTCCTACAAGGGGCAATTGACCAAGTGCGCACTTGAGCATGTGCGTGTTGCAAGCACCATGGAGCAGATTGCGGCAGGTTCTTGGAAAGATGCCATTGATGAAGCAGTTGCTGCAGCTCTTCATGATGCTGAATGAGCTGATGATGATGTTCCACAAGAACCCACTGCTCCTGAGGTTGGCAATCCACCTACACCTGCTTTCCTACCAACATCCCATGCACCTGCGACTCCTGCTGTGGACTTGGATTTGGGGCAGGATCTTCCACCAGTTCAACTGCAAGAACTTGTTGGTGCCTTGACTCAGAGTGGATTAGATAGCAGTGTAGGTGAACCTGGATCACGTCGAATGAGTGACGTGGCGACACCTTCTTTGGCTGTGGCTGCATCTGCCGCTTCGACTTCCAAGACCCCTCGTAGACTACCCTTGACTTCAGTCATCGAGCGGGCCCAGCGGTTGGATGCAGTTGGAACCAAGAGAGCAGCTGAATTGGATGGACTCTAGTGAGTTCAGAGACTCACAGGCGAGCGCTTTTGAGCAAGCTCCCCCTGTTGAAGAACCAAGTCAAACGGCTGATGCCTTGGTGGTGTCAAAGGAGGATATCTTTGCCTCTCTGGGTGACCCTTCTGTGCACCCGTTGGTCCACATCTACCATGGGGCTTGCCTGGATCGCATGCGCCCTTTGGAAAGCCGCGTGAATGATCATGGTTCTTGGCATGGCAGATGGCACCTACCCTCCAGATCGGAGTGGGAGACTCGCAGCGGCCTTGGACTTTCGTGGCCGACTGGGAGCGATGATGTTGAAAATAGCCATGAAGCCTGTGCCGTTCAAGCTGCTCGCAAAGAATACCATTGGAAAAGCATGAATGATGAGCAGAAGGTGAAGTTTCGCGAAGCTGCTGAGCAGGCCTGGTCAGTTTGGGCCGACAATGAGGCTGTGGAAGTTTTGGATGAAAAACAATCAGCTCGCATTCGCCAGCGACTCAAGGATGACAAGGAAGTGGACTTCAAAGTGCTCACTCCACGCTATGTCTTTACAGACAAGCATGAGCCGCTGCGAACAGCTGACAATCCTTTGGAGTTGAAAGCTCGAGCGCGCATTGTGGTGCCTGGCTTTCGTGATGTTCTTTCTTTTTCTATTCGAAAGGACGCTCCAACAGCTTCAAGAATCAGCCAACACATGCTCCTCATCATGACAGCTAGCTACAAGAAGGCAAAGAAGGCTTGGCGGTTGCTTTCGGCTGATGTGAAAAGCGCCTTTATGAAAGGGGATCCATTTGCAGAAGGATCCAGAGAACTCTATATGCAGAACATGTCTGGCGCACATGGTGAACCGCTGCTGCCTTTTCCAAGACATTGCCTTGCTCGCATTCGCAAAGGCGTTTTTGGTCTGTCTGATGCACCGAGGTTGTGGTATCTGAGGTTGCACAAAGAAGTCACTGCTATGGGATGGGAGCGCAGTAGCCTTGACCATGCTTGTTGGGTGCTTTGGTCTGAGGACCGCAAAACTCTTCATGGAATTTTGCTGGCCCACGTTGATGACCTCTTGCTTGGAGGTGACCAACGAGCTCAAGAGTCGCTGTTGTCTTTGGGCAAATCCCTGGGTTTTGGATCCATTGAGTATGACGATTTTGTCTATTGTGGCAAGCGCATTCGTCAGCTTGAGGATGGCACCATCGCCATTTCGATGGAAGAGTACCACCAGAACCCCAAGCCACGATTGTTCCTGCTCATCGGCGTGCTACTCCTGATGCTGAGCTGACCGATGGTGAGCGTCGACAGCTGCGAGCAGTTCTTGGCTCTTTGCAGTGGCTTGTGGCACAGCTGAGGTTCGACCAAGGGTTTGTTCTATCCAGTTTGCAAGGGGAGAAACCGAAAGTTCAGACACTCATGAAGGCAAACCAATTGTTGAAGAAGTTTAAACAACATCCCAAGTTTGAACTAGTGTTTAAACCCCTGGACTTGGATGGTGCTGGCATCCTGGCCGTCACCGATGCATCCTTGTGCAATGTGACCAAATCTGGCTGCGCTGAGGGTTCCTTGCTGGAGCGTGTCTATTCGCAGAGCGCCTACTTCATCCTTGTGGCTGACCGCAACCTGATGGCTGGAAAGGAGGGAAACTTCGGAGTGCTAGACGCTCGCTCTCACCGAATCCCCAGGGTTTGCAGATCCACTTTTGGCGCCGAGCTTCTTGGTGCTGAAGAAGGGCTTGACAATGGGCAGTTCGCTCGTGGATTGCTGGCTATGATGCTGGGCTATCCGATGGAAGGGCGCTATGCTGATGGAGTCATGGATGCAGTGCCGCTTATGCAGGTGACCGATGCGAAGGACGTCCACGACAAGGGATGTTCGGATACTCCGACCTATGGATCTCAAAAGAGTTTGGCATTCACCATTGCATGGATGCGTTCTGTGTTTGCCAGACCGAACACCTGTCTCCGTTGGACTTCGACTGAGAACATGTTTGTGGATGCGGGTACCAAGGAGATGGACGTGGAACACATGCACAGGATCTTGCAAAGTGGAACCTGGAGTGTGGAATTCAATCAGGACTTTGTGAAGCAGTCTGTAAAGAAGTCCAAACCGCGTGATGCTGTAGCTGGAAATTCAGTAGAGTTGGTAGGTGAACCTTTGAATAGTTCCCATCCTGTTTTTCCCTTTTTAGCTCAGCTTAGTGGTAGTCCTGGATGGCATTTCCGCGACACTCTAGTGATCCATGTGGCGAAGAACGCAAAGTCGTTTCGGATTCCGACTGCCAGATTCAAGGCAGAAGATTTTCCTTTGCGTTCTACATATGCACGTTTTGATCTGAAGGATGGCAGATCTGATTGGCGCATCTTGGAGGATGGCGTTGAATTTCAAAGCTTGCAGAACAAGCAGGCACTTTTTGGCGGTGTGGCATGCATATTGATCAGCATATTCCGATCTCTTGCCAAGAAAGAAGAAGATCAGCTGAGAATTGGCAGTATTGGCAAGGATGACACATGATGATCAGGTGCTGCCCGTAACATTTGGGCTCATGTCCTTTTGCATTTGTAGGCCTTTAGCCATACATTGCTACGTGCTGAGACTTCGGCAAAAGGTCGCGCAGACGCCCGGCTTGGGGTGTCTTCAACTTTTGAAAAACATGAATTGATATTGAACCCTACAGTATCTACGGTAATACTATGCAAGAATGTTGAATTGAATTTCCATGGACCACACAAACTGTTTCCTTTTCGCGATGTTACTTCTCACAGAGCTTGCAAATCTCAGCTTGGTTTGCGGCCTGCCAGGAACAATTGCGTGAGTCGCCCAACTTGTCTAAGACAAAGAGCCTTCGGTGGCACGAAATGCTCGAGAGCGACACTTTCGTAGAAAGTATATATCTTCCTAGCCAGTACTTTTTCTCCTTCTGTCAAACCGCAAAGGATTTTGGGGTGGCGATATATTCTTTCTTCACTGCACCTCGATGGGTGCAGAAAGTTCGAACTGCGGCTCAACAAACAACATACTCCCCGAGCAAATGCGCCAAATAAGCATTATTCCCCTGTCACCCCTTGCCGAATGACAATTGCGTTAAATTAAACCCCATTGACCAGACATCGTGTGCATCAAAGCTATACAAAGCTTTGGTTGGCAGCGGGCACTATTCATAAAGGGATCTCCAGTTGAGAAGTCAGATTTTGATGTCCTCTCCTCTCCTGTGAATTCTTGGTTTAGAACCATTGTTTGAGACCCATCTCGGTCTTGTGTGGTCCTTTCTGTGTGGATGCAAGTGTTTGCAATTAGTGACACTTGGTATTGACTTATGTGATAACTCGGACATTGTTGACTTATGTTCACTGATGCTGGCTGATGTTGGCTTATGATCTTATGTTGATCTTATGTTGGCTTCATAATTCCGCAGATTTTTATAGCGTTCGGAGCTCAGGATTTGCAAGAACTTTCAAAGGGGAGATTGCGAGTGACTCGGCGAAGCCTTGATGCAGATGCACCAGATGCCTGGAATGCTCTTTCCAACTTGCGGCATGTTGCAACCAGTTGCGACCCGAGATGTGCTAGCTGAGACTCATGGAAATACAGGAGGAGATAGGAGAAGTGCAGCTCTTGAAGTCAAGAGGGAGGTGTTCTGCAATGTTATGTTGAGGTGAAGTGATGAACAGGCTTTTACCATCTGCACGGAGTGCACAGGCTGTCGATCAACCTCCTTGAATGACACTTACTTGACCTGCAGAACCATTGGAACAAATTATATAGAGCAGTGGGCAAAGCGAAATCGGACACTGTTTACATACATACATACATACATACATACATACATACATACATACATGCATGCATGCATACATGCACACATGCATACATGCATACATGCATACATGCATACATGCATACATGCATACATGCATACATGCGTACATGCATACATGCATACATGCATACATGCATGTCATGCATACATGCATGTCATGCATACATGCATACATGCATACATGCATACATGCATACATGCATACATGCATACATACACATACATACACATACATACATGCGTGCATACATGAATACATACATACAAACATACATACATACAAACATACAAACAAACATACATACATACATACAAACATACAAACATACAAACATACAAACAAACATACATACATAAATACATACATACACTCATACACACATACACACATACACACACACATACACACACATACACACACACATACACACACATACACACACATACACACACACACATACACACACACACATACACACACACATACACACACATACACACACATACACACACACATACACACACACACACATACACACACATACACACACATACATACATACATACAAACATACAAACATACAAACATACAAACATACAAACAAACATACAAACATACAAACAAACATACAAACATACAAACAAACATACAAACTTACAAACTTACAAACATACAAACTTACAAACATACAAGCATACAAGCATACAAGCATACAAACATACAAACATACAAACATACAAACATACTAGACCAGACCAGATCAGACAGAACAGACAGACCAGACAGACCATACAGACCATACAGACCATACATACCATACATACCATACATACCATACATACATTACATACACTACATACATTACATTACATTACATTACATTGCATTACATACATTACATACATTACATACATTACATACATTACATACATTACATACACTACATACATTACATACATTACATTACATTACATTACATTATATTACATTACATACATTACATACATTACATTACATACATTACATTACAATGCATTACATGCATTAAATGCGCTAAATGCATTACATCCATTACATCCATTACATCCGTTACATACATTGCATACATTACATACATTACATACAGTACATACATTACATACATTACATACATTACATGCATTACATACATTACATTACACTACATTGCACTACATTACACTACACTACACTACACTACACTACATTACATTACATTACATCACATACATTACATCACATACATTGCATCACATACATTACATTACATTACATTACATTACACTACATTACATTACATTACATTACATTGCATAAATTACATTACATTACATTAAATTACATTACATTACATCACATACATACATCACATACATTACATCACATCACATTACATTACATTACATTACATACATTACATTACATTACAGTACATCACATTACATTACATCACATTTCATTGCATTACATTACATTACATACAATACATTACATACATTACATTACACTACACTACACTACATTACATTACATTACATTACATTACATTAATTACATTACATTACATTAAATTACGTTACATTACATCACATACATACATCACATACATAACATAACTTAACATTACATTACATTGCATACATATGTACGTACGTACGTACATACATACATACAAACATACAAACATAGAAACATAGAAACATAGAAACATAGAAACATACCAGACCAGACCATACAAACCATTACATACATTATATACATTGCATACACTACATACATTACATACATTACATACATTACATACATTACATACATTACATACATTACATACATTACATACATTACATCCATTACATCCATTACATCCATTACTTCCATTACATTCATTACATACATTACATACATTACATTACATTACGTTACATACATACATACATACAAACCATACATACCATACATACCATACATACCATACATAACATACATACCACACATACCATACCATACATACCATACATACCATACATACCACACATACATATACATACCATACATACCATACACACCATACACACCATACACACCATACACACCATACACACCATACACACCGTACACACCGTATACACCGTACACACCGTACACACCGTACACACCGTACACACCGTACACACCGTACACACTGTACACACCGTGCATACCGTACACACCGTACATACCGTACAGACCGTACAGACCGTACAGACCGTACATACCGTTCATACCGTACATACCGTACATACCGTACATACCGTACATACCGTACATACCGTACATACCGTACATACTGTACATACCGTACATACCGTTTATACCGTACATACCGTTCATACCGTACATACCGTACATACCGTACATACCATACATACCATACATACCATACATACCATACATACCATACATACCATACATGCCATATCTACCATACATACCATACCGAGCATACATACCATACATTACATACATTACATACATTACATTACATTACATTATATTACATTACATTACATTACATTACATACATTACATTACATACATTACATTACAACATGAAGGACAAGGACAGACATGAACAGGGGACAGCGAAAGACAGGACAGGACAGGACAGGACAGGACGCCCAGGACAGGACAGGACAGGACAGACAGGACAGGACATTACGGGACAGGACAGACAGGACAGACAGGACAGGACAGGACGTACAGGACCAGGGACAGACAGACAGGAAACAGGAATAGACAGGACAGGGGCATGTGACAGACAGGACATACACTACATACATTACATTACATACATTACATTACACAACATAACATAACGTAACATACATTACATTACACACATAATATACATAACATAACTTAACATAACATAACATTACATTACATACATACGTACGTACGTACGCACGTACGTACGTACGTACATACATACATACATACATACATACGTACACACACATATATATATATATATGAGGTACGGTCAAACAGGTCAAAACTCTGGTAGACCACTTTAGTACATTCTTGTACGGAGTGCTCAGCGATACCTGTTTCTTTTAGCAAGGCGAAGACATAGAGTTTTGACGGCAGCTCATATATACACATAACTATATATTGTCATGTGATATTATGTGTATATATATATATGTATTCATGTAGATAGAGATAGATATATATATATGTAATATTATGTTCAAAACTTGGCATGTGTACACATGAGGAAGGCCTTTGACACGTCAAGCACAGCAAAACAAACAGTGCTAGAGGGGCACGAGCCGATAGTTTTCCCCTAACGTATACATCAGCTTTCATCAGCTTCCATCAGCACGTGCATTGGTGAACATCCACTTGTTTGGACTTTATGGACACAAGTTGTAGCCAAGGTTAGGAGATGGATGCACTTTCGCACATAGAAGGGAAGATTTGAGAGTCCTGCGGCCAAAGAAGGCAACGCCACCAGAGCCATCAATGTCTGCAGTGAAAAAACATCAGAAACGGGTACGAGATGCGAGATGAGAGGAAATGATACAAGAGCTTCTTTGATTTCCGATGAGAGAAGGGCACGTGCGATACCATGAAGATCTCGCTTGGGTTGCCATAAAAATGCAACTGGTGGTCTTTGTTCCTTCTTAGTAG